ATAAAATAAATCATTTCATTCTCAACAACTGAATTAACACCTTTTCGAATTTTCTTTTGGAAAAGGAAAAGTACTAAGAACTAATAAAACTAACTATGAAAGGAATCTAAAAATAAATAATATGAGAGGAGACTATTTGAAGTTGCCAATTTCGAAGAACCTGTCGCTACCATGAGGCATTTGATGCAAACATTCGTTGATAAAAATCAATTTTAGTGTCTGGATAATTACATTGTGAAGATAGATTCTCGATTATTAAAGAAGGATTGGAAATGTTACAGTGATATATTTTTTTATTTAAAAATATATTAAAATAATATTTTTTAATTTCTAAAAATCATTTTTAACTTCCATAAAAAAAAATTAATTTTAAAAAATAAATTTAATGAAACACTATTTGCATTTCCTAAAAAGAATTCAGATGGTGTTGCTATTGATGAGTTACCACAGTACTCAAACTCACCACTTGCTGCATAAAAAAGAGTATTCAGGAACAATGGCATCACTTACAGGTTGTATTTAATGAAACAATAATATCATCAACATAACCTTATACAAGTAAAAATTCCGGTACATACATGGAACAGGAATTCCTCTGAAAATATTCCACTGCTGCAACTTTGGACACATTTTGTGGGATGCTTGGAACTTCTCAAACAAGTGCATTTTCATGGAGAAAAGGCGGGGAGCCAAATATCATATTTGGTGGCAAGCACGTTCTTCGACGCGCATTTGTTGTGAGATGCCAATCAAGCCTTGACACTGATCACAAATGAACCTGTCAAGTGAATAACCACAGATATGGTGAGATATTGTTATTCAAAATGCAGTGTTTCATCAAGAAGAGTGGTAGGGGCAGTCACTTCAACGCTCACAATGACACATGCTATGTAACTTCCTACATCTCTATAACAAATTGAAGCCAACCTAGATTTTGGTTCTGGTTATATTTCTCTGTTCTCTTACTTTCTCAAAGTAATGATGGATCATCTCTATCTCCAACAAGTTTATCACAGACCACTCTTCAAAATTCTGCTTGTCTGGATTCCCATTTTCTATAGTTCCAATTATTTATTCCTGACAGAGGAATGATTTTTACTCTTATTTTCATGAGAGAACTCAAAAAAATGGTTTCTTTCTACAACAACTATCACCCAGTCTCTACCTTCCAAACAGAAAACTCAAATATGCAACTCCTGAAACTTATACAGGCACCAATCAGCAGGTCCTCTTGTTTGCTAGTCTCAAGCTAGTCAATCAAAGTCGACACAGTTCATGCATTTCAAAATCAACATGAACTGAGGGTTTGGTTTGTGGTTAAAATCGTGAAAACAAAATTTATACTCATAACCCTTTCTTAATTTCCTAATAAGAGATTAAAATCAAAATTTAATTAAAATTTCATTCTTTGATCAATTTTTTAAAACAAGAGTGTTCAATTTTTTCTCATTTTCTTAATATCAATCCATACAAGATGGTCACATAGTGATAATACAAGGATGAGGGTGAGAAGATGTGTTCGATGTATACATTTTGACTGTGGTTGGTTCCGGTTCAAGAAACAAGGGGCTTTAACAGCCATGGAGAGGGGAAAAAAGGTGTCTGTCTGCTCGGTTTAACCGGTGACAGAGGTTTTATCTTGCCTTTACTCTTTCACTCAAACATGGAAAACTAGTAAAGCAAGCATTTGGTGCTAGCATTCCTCATGCAAACAATAATAAACTAGTGATCTGTTTTGTTGTGAACAAGAGAATTTGTGAAGTTCAGTTCATCGCATTAAGAAGGCTAAACAAATTATGAACTTCGGTAAAAATATTCCGGTGGAAATATAATCTAAAAGACCATGGAACCACTTGAAAGTATGCCATCGCAGATCCAACATGAACTCAAAGTTCCACGGTTTAATAATTCAGCAACAACAAAGTTTTTTAAAAAGGAATTCAACAAGCCAATTTCGCTTTATAAATAAAACACTAGAAGCTACCATTCCTATAAGCTAATCATAATTCATAATTAATATTTGAATGCACATCAAATCTTAATATTCCATCATTGATTAACAAAATGCGAAACAAGTAGTCAAGATCTAGCATACTCACACGCGGGAAGACTGGAAATATCAGCAGAAACAGCACAGGGAATCCCCAGATTCGAAAGCGCACCCCTTATAATCCCACAAGGAAAATAGCAATACATGCTCATTGCTTGTGCACCTTTACTTTCAGGATCCTCCATTCCATTCTCAACCGATAGATCATCCCCCGACATTCGTGATAGCCATGGAAACTTATTATCTTGCAACACAAACGTACCCTAAACAAAAAAAGAAAAAACATATTCAAAATCAAAAACCCACAAATAAGAAATAAAAATAATTAACAGAACTCACTCTATGATTAGTCTTCAAGTTATCAATCTGTTTCTTGAACAACTCAGTCCAGAAATCTTTGCATATGAACTTAATTGCCTCTAAATGATCAGTAAAACGAGGCCGTTCTATTGTGTACCTAATCAAACCCAAAATTGAATCAGCAAGAATAAAATGAAACAAATAATGAGGGGTTTGCCATGGAGTGAAAGAGGGAGAACTGTACCGTTCCGAGAGCTGATGGCCTACTTGATAACCAATGGCTTCGATGCGGCGGGCAGCGAGTTCTGGTTTGTTAGAGTAAAATCGAGTGCAATATGATGACACCATTTCTGTCACGAGACCATCCATGCAACTCTTCGATACTTCTCTTCCCATTTCCTTTTCTTATTTTTTCTTCTTCTTTGCCCTCACTAAAATGAAAAAAAAACAATATATATATATATATTTACTGTTTGATATGTTTTCTTCTGCATTTTTGTGTCAGCAGGATAGTACTGTTTGATATGTTTTCTTCTTCATTTTTGTGTCAGCAGGATAGGGATAGATGGGCTTGGGTTACAAGTACTCGAGTTGGGCTGTTGTATTGGGTAGGAACTCCAGTTTTTATTTTTCGTATTATTTTTCATTTTGGTCATCCAATTTGTTTTTTCTTTGATTTGAACCTTTGGAGGCAAAATTGATGTCTAATTACTTCTAATTTGTTATTAAAAATAAAAAAAGATTAATAGACATGAAACCTAAGTAAAAACAAGAGGAAAATAAGTGGTTTGTTTAATTTTTGATAATGGGGGGGTTTGATATGGTGCTTTGCAAATTGTCATGAAAGGTTCACATTTTCAATCCTTATAGTTTTTAAAAATTCACTTTTTATACACAAATTTATTTTATTTATTTTTTAGTCATTAAGTTGAGAGAGAAGAAATAGATTTGTTAGGTTTTGGTTGAAGAGAAAGAGAAAATCTTGGTGTCAGCTTATCCAATTTAATAAGAAAAGGTTCATTAAGATATTATTTGACATTTACTTTGCCAGCAAGATAGATCTAGTTCCATAAGGTTTTTCAATTTGAGTTGAATTTTTATTTTTTTAATGCTTTTTTATTTCTTTAAGTAATGAATTAGTTTATTTAGGTATGTAGGATGTTTTTGGATTAAAAAAAAATTGAAAAATGACTTATTGACTCCTATTCAGCCAGCACAGACAATGTATCTTCTATTTTGTGTTTTTTAAAAATCAAATGGTAAACAATGCATTCTCCACCCTTCAATATAAAAAATAAAGAGAGGCCTGGTGCACATGTCAGGCCTTTTTTTTTAGTAGATATACTAGTCATCCATGTCCAGCTGCTTACTCTTTTTTTTTGTTAAGTATATAAAAAAATTATTTTATTTATTTATTTATTTTAGTTTCATTAATCAAATATTATATTTATTAATAAAATATTTGATAAATATAAAAAAAATCTTTATTAATAAATTTAATATATTTATGTGAATAACATCTATGTATATAACCAACTAATTAACTATAAAGTATATATACTAACAATATAAATATAATTGTTAATTTATAATTTTATTATTAAATATTTCTTTTGAAATAGTCTATCTTTCTAGAAAGATTACAACTCTTTAATTAATTGTGATTAAATTATGAGTTTGATAGTTTTAGAAAGTTGGATCAATTTTTCTTTTTGTAATATTGATTTTTATTTTTATTTTTGTCATTTAATATTGGGTTGTTTGAGAATTTATCTTTACTATATGATTCATTTTTCTTTTTATGGTATTATCATATTTTCATTACTCGACTTGATAAGATAAATTCGGTTATTTTTTTATTTTATTTTTTAATACTAAATTAATTAAGAATCAAATTTTATAATTTATTTAAGTTTATTTTTTATGAAGTTATCACAATCTTATAACTCGGTTCATAAATCTGACAAGTTAAATTAGATCAATTCAATTTATTATCTTCTTAAAAAATTTTTAAAAATATCATTTAATAATTTTTTTAAATCAACCTATATTTTTATAAACATCCAAATAACCTTTAAATTCATTAAATTACATCAAATCAACCCTTACACTTTTTTTTTTACCCTAAAAAAAAAACATCCGCCTTCCAATGGAATGTTGGCAAATGATCTAATTTTCTAATTAATTATTAAAACCATGTCGTTTTAGGGTTGTTCATTACCTAGTGATATGGGACTTCAGCGAGGCAAAATCCAGGGCTGGGTCCGTCAAAACTATAAATAGAATAACACGAGTGAAACCCAAACCATATGATAATTTTTTTGAACTAATAAATATATGATTGTGAAAAACAAACACGAAAAATAAAAGGCGAAAAGAAGTTAGGGTGAAATTGAAATATAGAATAATTAATTATTTAGTATATTTCAGAATACAAATTCTGTGTCATTTATTCATAAAATAAGATTGGATCATCATCATCATCAAACAAAAGGGATACATTTATTCTTTCAAGAAAAAGATTTAACCTTGCTTTAAAATATATGGCATGGAATTGTTAATTTATTTTTCCTCCTGCACATGCACCTGTATTGCTTCTCACAGTACACGCTCTCGCAATGCAAATCAGGAGGACAAACATCGTCGAACTCGCAGTCCTCTTTATACAGGCATTCCCCTTTTGTTATGGCCTCTTGCTCCTCCTCTATCTTCCCTGCCATCATCTCTCTCGATTCAGCACCATTCCTTTTTCGAACCTGTCATGTATCAGCCCAAACTCTTCTCAGCCCACTCTTAAAACGACTCAGTCTTCACTGCAAATTGCTTCGGTCCCTATAATAAACTTATTTCTCCTACTTCAATAAACTTAAAACCTGCCTATGGGTTGCCACGAGTTCTTATTTGGCTGATTCAAAGCCACCAGAAGGAAGAAGAAGTCTTCAGGGTCTCTGAAAGGATATTGCATTATCATAGTCAGATGGTCCATGTATGCTCCAATGATCATAATAACAAGGATTTAAAATATTATAAAGGAGTTCATCGGTGGGTCCATAGGCTGATATGCAGTGATACTATATTGTCCAGCTGATTAGTTCGGACTGAATACACCTAGCTGTACAGCTGCTACCAATAACGTGCAAGGCAAAAATAAATTATTAACATTATCTGGGACCACACCTGCAAAAAGTTTAATCTTCTTAGCATGTTGGAATCTTTGAGCAAAGGCATCAAAATCCTAGAATAAGGTTAGCTAGCTATAAGCTACTAGAGTACCAAAAGGAATCTGCTTCAAGCTTCGACTGTTTCTCAGCTGGTTGTTGACCACAGATGATTTTAAGAAATTCCTCTCCCACTTTATCCTGACCCATGTCATCAAGAGTTTCACGTAACAATCTATGGCCGCTGAGAGGGGGCAGCACTGTCATAGCCAGGTTTTCCAAACGTGTTCTGATGATAAGATGGATATCCATAATTATAATGGGAGCTCAGCTGTGGGTCTAGTGGGCGATAACCAAGCACAATTGTAGCGTCCGCCAGATGGATTTTGATTTATAGAAGGACCTTCTGCTCGCTGATGAGGGACAGGCACCGGGTGTGCAATGCTAGTGTTTTTAAGTAATGGTGCTCTTAGAGGAACCTCAGATGATTTAGCAATCCGAGGGCGCTTATTTCCACTCTGGTGTTGTTCTTGAGGGTGCGGGTGCTTATCACTGCCCTGGTACTGCGCTTGACAGCGTTTATTTCCACCCTGGTATTGTGGTTCAGTCTTGGGGATTGAGCCAGAAGGTGATGCACTGCTTGAGGAGGGGGAGACAACAGTACTTCGGGTAGTTGAGGTAGTAATGGATGAAGTAGTGGCGGGAGAGGCAACTGCTATTGGGGTAACAGCGGCTGCAGCAGTTGTGGAGGGAGAAGTGACAATGATACGGACGACTGGATTAGCAATAGCGGACGTAGTTGGGGCAGGAGAGGTGACTGTGACTGGGGAAGCAATGTAGGCAACAGTTGGAGCGAGGGAGGTGACTGTGATGGGAGCAGTACAGGCTGCCATCGTGGAATTGAGAGCAGGTATAGTGGCAGAGACATATTTGGACGCAAGGACAGAGGCACAAGCAGCAGCTTTTGGGGCCAAACGTTTGTTCTCACTCAGATGAGGCTCAGTAGAATTGCTTCCCAGGTTTGGTAACTTTGTTTTCCTAATTGAAAGTTGTCTTTCGACGTCTTTTATTTGTTGCTTGAGGGTATTTGGTGAGAATACAGTTTCAAGCTTGTAATCTTCAACGCATTTCAGTACAACCATTAGGTCAGCTACTCTTCTCTTTACAGACTCAACCTGTTAGCAAGTTTCAAGCGTCAGCATATAATAACAGTTGGATCGTACACAAGAGAAGAGATTGACAAATTGAAGGAGAAAGCCAGCAAAACATACCAGTCCTTCAATTGATTTGTTCCTCCTCTTAATTTTTCTGGCTGCAATCTTGGAACCACTTAAGTAATCCCTCAAGATAGGTCCAGGTGGGAACTGATTAACCATCTCAAATGCATAAATGAATCTGATAGCTTCCATTGGCTGTCTCTTTAAGATAAGATTTTGAATAAAACCTGTTATATGCATGCAAAAGAATAGTTACAAGTTCAATCACGCTCCAGTAGATATTTCAAATGAAAAAAATAATTGATTGAGAATCGAATCAATTAATTTTCACCAGGCATTAAAGAAGTCAAGGGCTAAATTGAGAGGAAAAACTGGTGTGCTTCAAGCCATGGATTTAAGTGGATTTCCCAAGGCTAATTTCGCTATACGATGCTTAAAAATTGACAGGTGATGCTAGCACTAGCAGAAGATTATCCTTGACCTTTACCACTCTTGACAACACCGTAACAAATGACTATAAGCTGAACACTCAAAAAGGCCTTTAATTGCAGTTACATGCATTTCTGCTCCAAACAAAGGGTATACAGTGCATCCTCCATGCAATACAGGATTCATTGACTTACCACCAGAGAAAGCTTCAAAAACGACCAACTTTTTAAAGAATTTCCATGACTTTCCACTATCTTGTATTTCATAACAGAATCTTGAGATGTGAAATAAACTATAATTTAATCACATACAAGTTTCTGCCAATACCAAATATAGAATAGTTGCAATTCATGAATAGCATGGTAGTGCAGAAAAAGGATTACTAGATTATAGACACAGAAGAAAGCAAAAAAATCATACTGAGCACAAGGATTAGAAACTTACCAGGAATTTTATCTCCTAGATCAAGGACACGCAAGAATTCAGGAGTCTGCTTCTTTCGAGCAATAATCACCAAACGGCTTATGAGCTCATCTGAATCAAAAGCAGAGGCCAGTCCATAAGCAGCCAACAGATAAAAAAAACCCAAAACATCCAAATTGTGTTGACCATCCACTGTCATCTTTGTCATCCAAAGAAAGGCAAGTTTCGTCGCTTCTTTTCTCACATGGGGTTCGATTGGTGGGGATATTTTCATTAATTGCTCAAGCAAAAGATTGCAACTTCTTTTCACAACAACCTCTTTGAACTCCACATCACCCTCCCTCAAATGGGGCGGGTAAAACCCTTCCATGGCATCCAAAACCAGCTTTGCAGGATCCGAGGAAAGTCCCAAAGCAGTAGATACCTCATTCTTCAACTTCTCATCATGTTTACAACGCTTATTTAATAAAATTTGCAATGCCTATCCATCCATTTTCACTGAAAAATGTAGGTTAGCATCTATGGAATATTCTACGGTCTCCGACTTCACATGGGCAATACAAGCATCAGCAACTTGTTTCTCCTTCAACTCAAACTCCTTAATTCGCTCCAAGCACTTCTTATTTTCCATTTCAACTTCCCGTAACCTCTGTTCTAGTTCCTTCTCCTTCAACTGAACGTCTTCAATTTGCTTCCCTTTCAAATCAAACCTCCTACACCGTTCCTCCAATTCCTTCTCCTTCAACTCAACCCCCTTAATTATCTCCTCAACCTCCCTACTTTTCAACTCAAGTTCTCTAAATCCTTCCTCTAATTTCCTCCTATGCAATTCAACTTCCTCGCTCCTTTTGCCAACATTCTTCTCCATCAATGCAATCTCTTTAACCCTCTCCTCAACCTCCCTGCCTTTCAATCCAAGATCTTTAAGCCTCTGCTCAACCTTCCTATCTTTCAATCCAACCTCTTTCAGCCTCTCCCCAACCTTCCTATCTTTCAATCCAACCTCTTTAAGCCTCTCCTCAACTTTCCTATCTTTGAATCCAATCTCTTTAAGCCTCTCCTCAACCTTCCTATCTTTGAATCCAATCTCTTTAAGCCTCTTCTCAACCTCCCTACCTTTCAACTCCACCCCTTTTCTCCGTTCCCTAAACTCGTCATCTTTCACCCTAACTTCCTTAAACAGCTCTCTAACCATCCTCTCCTTCTCTTCAACCTCTCTAAATCTCTTCCCCACCCTCTCTTCTCTCAATGCAACTTCTCTAAACTCTTCCACCACTTTCTTCTCCTTCAACTCAATTTCATCATACCTTTCTCTGACTTGCTGCCCAAAATTTATTTCTTTTAACTCAAGCTCTCTTCTCCACTCCTTAGAGTTCTCTTCTTTCAACTTAACCAAAATTTCCATTTCAAGTTCCTTAAACCCCTCCAGGAGGTGCTTCTCCTTCAACTCAAGCACTTTAGCTTGTTCGAAAAACCTCTTGTTTGCCAATTCAACTTCTTTCAACTGCTCTTCAAGATGTTTCTCCTTCAGTTCAATCTCCTTGGACTGTTCCTCAAGTTTCTTCTTTTCCGACTCAACTACCGTACACCGCTCGTCAAGTTGCTTTTCCTTCAATTCAACCTCTTCAACAAACTTTTTATTCCCCAATTCAGCTATCAGGCGCCTTTCTTCAACTTGCTTCTCCTTCGACTCAAGCTCTTCAAAAAACTTCTTAATTTTCTTGTTTTCCAATTCAACTTCTTTCTGCTGCTCCAGAAGTTGCTTCTCCTTCAATTCAAGCTTTTCAACTAACTTCTTTCTCTCCGATTCAACTTCCTTGCACCTTTCATCAAATTGTTTCTCTTTCAATTCAAACCCCTCTATAAACTTCTTGTTTTTCATGTCCTCCGATTCAACTTCCTTTTGCTTCAACTTAAGCTCGTCAAAAAACTCAACATTTCTCTTCCTCGCCAATTCAATCTCCAAAGCCCTATCCTCAAGCTGTCTCTCCTTCAATTCACACTCCTTAAGTTGTTCCCCAACCTTCAACTTCACCCATGGAACTTCATTGAGTTGCTTCTCCTTCAACTCAAACTCTTCGACAAGCTTCTTCCTTTCCACTTCAATTTCCTTTTGCCTTTCCTCAATTTTCTTCTCCTTCAACTCAAACCCTACGACAAGCTTCTTCCTTTCCACTTCAATTTCCTTTCGCCTTTCCTCAATTTCCTTCTCCTTCAACTCAATCTCTTCAACAACCTTCTTTCTCACCAACTCCTCCCTCTCTTCGACTTCCTTCCGCCTCTCCTCCAACAGCTTCCTCTCCGATTCAACCTCTCTACGCCGTTCCTCAAAATCCTTCTCCTTCAATTCAATCTCTTTATAATGCTCCTCAACCTCCGCATCTCTCAACTTTATAAACTCTTCGCACCGTTCCTCAAACTCCTTCTCCTTCGATTCAAATTCCTTCCCTCTCTCCTCCAGTTGCCGTTCCTTCGTACGAAGCGCTTTGGCGGAGTCTTCGATGGAATTGAAAGTGGAATCGAAGTGACTTTCGATATCTTTCCATTGAAGAGTGAGGGAGAGAATGGAAGAGGCTTGCTCGTGAATTTCATTGAGACTTCGGTTGAAGCTTTCTTGCCTTAACTTAGTGAGTTTCAACTCGCTGCAAATCTTCTCCTCCATTGAAGTAGGAGACGACACCCTAGCACCACTCACTGGAGTGGAGGGGAGAAAATCAAAGAAGCGGGTCAGGGTAAAACGACAGGTCGTCGTCAATTGGTTGATTAATTTTTTAGCAAATCATAATCACTATTAATGTGCTGGGAAAACCTTAATGATACCCCGTGTACGGACCCTCTCTTACGATTTTTGAAATTTTTTAAAATTTATTTTTTAGTTTAAAATTATTATTTTTAATATGTTTTTGAATTATTTTAATACGTAAATAACATAAATAAATTTTATAAAAAAAAATCTGATATATTACTAAATAAAAAATATTTTAAAAAATAATGTTTATCACAATTTCAAACAAATTCTATTAAATAAGGTTTATAAGTTAATTAGATTTAAATATTTAGTTTTTTTAAAAAAAAAATTATATAAAAAAACTTGATTTTATTCTAGTTTTGACTTAGTAAAAAATTAAAAAATTAAATTGTAAAATTGACCAAGTTGATTTTGTTTGAAACTTAGCTAAAAAAAACAATCTTAGATGATTGTATTTTTCATGCAACTTATATGCTATATATATTTTTTAAAAATTTAAATTATTAGTTATAATTTTAAAATATAATTTATATTATTATCTAAAATATATATTAAAATAAAAGTTATTTAAATTTAAAATTTATATAAAAAGTAATAAGATTTAAATTTATAATCTCATGGTCAACAAGAAACCTAATATATTATATTAAAAAATTATTTTAATTAAAAAATTTATATAATAAAATGAAATTTTAAAATATAATTTATATTATTATATAATATATGTGTAATTATTATTATGCGGTATATAAACTTTAAATATATTTTTAAATAAAAATTAAGTTGTCATATATAATCAAACAATTCATGTACAACATATATATCTTATTATTTAGCACTCTTAGCTTATCGTTTATGTTTTACATAAACTTGTTTTAAATTTCTTTATTTCTCATGTTATACGTTTTTTTTCATATCATCTACAATACCAATATATAAATCGGTAGCAGTCAGACATCTATATAGTATGATCTTTAAAATCTTAAAAGTGTTTGTTCATTAAATCATATATCGACATAAAATCCATGGTTTATTAAGCTATTCGAAACTGAAGGTTGAAAGACATAAATCCATGCCGCAGCATTAACATAGGATTCATGTTTTATTAAACTTTGAGGTAACCATTTTTTACCCCTTTTTCTAAGAGATTTACCTGCGTAGCTGAAGATGAAGGTGTATTGGACGATGCTCTCTCTCTTCCTCTTTTCGTTTGTTTTCCCTCTGGTTGCTCTTTTCTTCGGATCTGTTTTCTCTGTTCGTGTTCTCTGGTCCCTCTCCCTCTTCGTTTCAGTCCTTGTTTCTGTTTGTTTGCTTCTCTCTCTACTGGTTTTTTCGGTCTTCCTCTCTCCCTGTATTTGCTCCTCCTTGGTTTCCTTCTGTTTTGTGCCTCTGTCTTTCTCCTTCGCGTCTCTGTTCCCAGTTTTCCTCTGCTCGTCCCTGTTCTCTCTTTCACTCCCTCTGTCCCTACATTTTTGTTCTTCTCTGTTTTCCCCCTTCTTCCCTCTGTTTTTTGGTGTTTTTTTCTCCCCCATTCTCTTCTCTTCTCTGGGTTTTATAGCCAGAGAATGCCAAGCGTTCGTGCATCCTGGGGGCGAGGGATAGCAGCTCGGAGACCTGGTCCATGAAACGGTTTT